GTAGGTTGTAGGCTGTAGGGAGATTCGAACTGTAGACCTGTAGGGTAGGAGTCCAAGTAGAGTCCAGAAGCCCAGCTTTAGTCCTTCTAGAAGGTCGGCAAGTGGTCAAGTGGTGAGTCTAAGGTAGGCCCACGTTTTTCAGACGAAGACAAGTGGCAAGGTCAACAGGTAGGACCTCAGTGCAACTGCACTGAGTCGACGGTACGACTGCCTACAGTCGGGAGAAGGGTCTAGAGAGTCCCAGTCCAGTCCAGCAAGTACCACAGGGGGACTGTGAGCACCAAGGGCCGAAAGTAAAGGGCAGACCAACGAATTTCTGAAGTATAAATCAAGAGGCAGCGCCCAGCCATTCATTCATTCCTGCGTGATCCATGCGGAAGCGCTGCCACAGCAGCTTGTGCAAGGAGGTCTGCAGATGAGCCCGGAGGACGCAGTGGGCAAGAGAGGAGGAGTTAGCATAGCGATAGGTTAGAGGCAGCCATAGCTGCCATAGCTGTAGTTAGTAGTGAGTGTGTGTGTGTTCGAGTGTTAGAATGATGCGTGTGGGATATCCAGGGTGATCCAGTGCATGTGAACAGTGAGATGTTTGGGCGCTGAAGTCGCCATAGCCATTTGAGAGTGAACTCGTATCTGAAGCCATATCTCTGAGTTTGAGTGGGCGCATGTCGCCAGTGTGCTGCGTACTGTTTACATGTGTGAAAAGTGTGTTTGAAAACGAGTCTGATTGCAATATGTTTTTCATAATCCATAAAGGGATGGAGAGCAAAGGCAACTTACCTAAGACAGAAGACTCCACCAGCAAGAAAGCACTGCCCCACCCGCCATAGGTCCAAAAAAACTTGGAGAGCCCTCCACGTCAGCCCATGTGTGTGTGTGTGTGCGCCCGCCCGCGTGTGTGTGTACAGCAGTCATCATTGTCCGCAGTCTCGCTGGTTCTGGCTTGATGAGCCCATTGATTCTTGGAAGGTCCCTGAGGAACTCCCAGGAAATTCCCAAATGAAGTCTCGAAACAGCCTTATTCGCCATATTTGTCTCCATCATCCCTGCTGCACCTCGCCTTCAATATGGCCCACAGTGTTTGCAAACTTTCAGGTCAGTCTGAAGACTCTAAAACCATGTTTTTTTGGGCTTGCACATATTGGGAAGGGTATTAGAGATAATTAGACCATAAGAGCATCGGGAATAGATGTGTACGTAGAGAGAATGAAATGCTGTCTTCTTTTGCTGATGCAGTTTGTTCTGTCATAATTTCTTTGGGTGGATTGAAAAGTTTGCGGAAATGCTCTGGTTCTTACCATTTAGCAATCATGTACAGTAAAACTGTTGCGGCACTGGAAAACAGAACTAACAAACCCCATGGTCATCATTGCGATTCCTTTTTTGCCTTAACAGAGCTGTTATGCTTTAGCAGGGCTGACTTATGCAGCACCTGAGGTCTTCCTATCTACGGAGGGATTGCCAATTGCTATACGATATCTGCGGCAGCAGACGCTGTATGAGCAGAGGAGTTCGAAGACACATCAAATTCAATCCGAAGACGATGACGAGGAGGAGGACAAAAGCGAGGGTGGTTTGGATCCCTTCTTGCGTGAGGAGAGTAGTCTTCATGTGAACTTAAGTGGCACAGAGAGAGCAATGACCACTCCAGCCTTCAGTCGAGCGGAAACGGTGCTTGGATTTGCAGCTGACAACTCGTCAACAACAACAAAGACAGTTCACCTGCGAAATGATGTGGCAGAGCACGATGCAGCTACGGATCTTGAGCATGCAGCAGTGGAAGAAGTAGAAAATGACGATGATGAAGATGATGATTGTGATGATGATGATGATGACGATACCTCTCGCGTTGTTTCAGGGATGAATGAGGGGGATGGCTCCATGCTCGGGAATCATCCAGGAAGGCGCTCAATTCAGAAGCGGACCTCGCAGTCACAGCAAGATGACGGCACCGTTTCTGTTTTTCAGAAGGACCTTCTCCGGCAAGGCATTGGCAAAGATAGGAGAGGGTCATCACACTCTGACTGCAGTGATGACGCTGGTGAGTACAATGAATTCAAGTAGTTGTTGTTGTTGTTGTTGTTGTTGTTGTTGTTACCAGCGACCTTCAAGTTGAAGTTGTTAAGCTGTCAACTCACTGTCACTACCTCCTGAGAAAACCGGCAGAATAAAAGAAGAACTGCGGTCTTTGGATCATTGATTCAATGCACAACTGAGAGCCTCCTGGTTATTGGGGAGGTTTAAACCACCAGTACATGGCTCCAGGCAACTGGAGAACCTGTTTTGAGCGTCTCCTAAAATTTAGGAGGCCGAGCGCCGTAGATAGAATGTATCGGCGGTGGGGAGCCTCCGAAAGGGGCCCGCGGCCGATAGCTGGCATCTACTGGTGCTTTAAAAGGCAGTAGAGGTGGTCTGAAGGTAGTGGAGAATCTGTTGTTTTGCATCTATTTTTGCTCTTGAAGCTGCTGCCAATGCATTTGATGATTATAATGGTTTCGGTAATGGCTGTGTTCCTGTGCTTGCAGAGGAGTATGGTCGCAGTTCGGTTGCATTTACAGGAGATGTACATGTGACTGCTGAGTTGCCGGCCAAGAAGAACCAGGAACAAATGGCAATCTTCCAGAAAGACAGAAAAGGGAGGAGTGGTTTCACCATCAAGGAGATCAATGACATGCAAATTCTAGGCCTTGGTCCCCCTGCTCTGCCTAACCAGCAAGCGGCATTGCATGTCATTCTCACCTGTTGTGAATTTCAAGAGTTGAAGGAAGCAATTACTCGATATGGAGGAATGAGACTCGTCTTGAGTAGGTTGATGTTGATCCTTTTCTTCTCTCCCAACCCACCTCCCCCCCTTCCTCTTCCCGTCTCTGAAGAGACAGGAAGCGTTGTTTGTCTTTGTGTGTGTGTTTTCATGTTCGCCAGAATGTTTCCTCGACTCATCAGGACGTTGAACCCGGACAGTCTGCCCAGGATGCATTTGACTGATAGATAGGACTTGGATTCTCCCGGGATGCAACCCTGCAATCCCAGGAGACTGTCAGTTGAAAGACTCCAAACCCCTGATAACAATGGCTGTAAGTAGGGGAAACCGGTCTGTGTTTATCTCGGCGTGTGTTCAAATATATCCCATTACAGTGGAGGTTTAGTCAGTTCCAAATCCTACCGAACGCGTCTTTCCTGTGTTTAAACCGGTCTCTACTATTTTCCTGTTTTTTACTTTAGCCGATATTAGTCTGCCATAGGAAAACGCTCTCTTTCCTGACCGAACGCGTCAAGTTCCAAATCCTACCCGCACCTCACATTCACGAACCTGTTCAACTGCGTCTCATAGACATGGTCGGGGTTGATGAAGGGTTGGTCCTTCCCAGTGACCCCCTTTCATGACAGGCGGTGGTTCCCATCTTGAGTTCGTCAATTTGGGTGTCTCCAACCACGCGGTTGGATAAATAAAATAAGTCGTGTCCATCTCGCTGCGGACTACTGCAGCTTCTACATCAGGTCCGGCCATAACCAATCCTATACCGTTTATCACCACGCGTTTCGTGTTCATTCTACATGTTCTACATTACTGGACTATGACAAGCGAAACAGCCAGACAATCCGCAAGTAAAGTCGGCGAGGACAACAAACAGGCACACAAAGGGCAGCAAAGCAAAGGCAGTGACGCAAGCACATAGGATGGAGGGCATGGGGGAGGCGGGTGCGGKGGGGGGGGKACCAAAGAAAGAGAAAGAGAGAGAAGGGCTGAATGACAAAAATAGAAAATGGGTCAAATTGCAGCTGTGATTTTTTTCTTTCTTGGTTGAAAATTGAGATTAGTTTTTTATTAATTTTTATTTTTTTTGTTTTTTTAATTTACTTTATATTTTTCCTGGAAAGATCACAATAAAATCTACAAGACCTCCAATTTCCAGATTTTTTCACGTATTTTTCGGAGTGCAAAAAATCCCTGAAGTTGGAGTACGTTTGCTATTGGCCCCCACGTGCCTGAGTGACAAAAATGGTAAATGTTCCGAATCAGCACGGCGATTATTTCCCGGTCTGATATTTCTCCTGGAAAGACCACGACTTAATCTACGGATCCTCAAAATTTTCAGAGTTTTTTGCCAATTCTTCTGAGCACGGAAAATCGCCAAAGTTGCCTATCGCAAACTGTGGGACTCTTACACACCCAAAACTAACCCCCCCGGACCCCCCCCCCCCCCCACACACACACACAACACACACACACACTCCTGCGCAATCCCGTTCATTCGTTCAACGCCCGTTCAATCCGTTACATCAATCCGTTCAAATATTGAATGGGAAATGCGCGCTCAATGGATGCGGGGCTTCATAGATGAACACAATAAAGTTAGGGGCTACCCCCTTACACACGCTGCGGGACTCAGATAGAGCACACACCCTTCATTTAAGAGGGTATATCTTTACTCCTTTAACATATGGCTTCCAACCTTGGGGCAAAATAGGTGGCCCCAGATTATGATCAACCTATCGTTGTTGCCATGAGACTGGAGCCATCGAACCAGGCTCCCTCTCCTGGAGGATGCTCTTATCACTGCCAATAGTCGGGCCCCATATGACGTTTCTGTATTAAAAAAAAAAAAACAAAAAAAAAACATGATTCTAAGATTCTTCTCATTGACATTCTGGCATAGATGTCTGTTTTCTTCCATTAGCCCCTTCGAGACTGTTTCATTAGTACTTGGTGCAAGTTGTTCTCAGAGTTTTCTCAGCCGAAGCCGGGTAATGGCCCCGGTGCCTTAATACTTGTGTACTTTTATATGGGACGCTGGGCCCGGTTCCTAGCACGTGCTGCTCCCCACGAAAAAAACGGAGCATTTTGTTCCCCGCCCCCGCCCCACCAAAAAAAAAAAAAAAAAACATTCTGGCAGCTCTACTGTAAACCAACTGTGGGAAAGGAGAGGTGTGCAAGACACCACCAGTGTCGCGAGAAGGGTAGTGTACGGGTGTTGGATCCGAATTGAAGTATTGAAAGTCCCTGGTATTGCACCTGACGCGAGAGCCAATTTGCCTATATTGTGAGAGACAGTGAGACATGGCGCCTCACATAAAGGGTTATGGATCTCTGGAAGTAGCTAATTGTATTTTCCCCTTTGCATGGTTATTGGTAAACTCTTACTGGTTCCTTTTCAGTGTTTTAAATTTAAGTGGAAAAGAAAATAAAAATAAAAAAACATTGTCTTTACGTGCTTTTTTCAGGTATAATCCGCAACCGGAGTTTTGCAGCCAATCTTCGCAAAGAGGCTTTGATGGTGGCATCCGCATTGTGTGAGAACAGTGTCGAGAATCAGAGGTCATTTCGTCTGAATGGTGGACTTGCGGTGCTTCATGCTGAGCTCATGTAAGGAAAAGTGTTGACGAGAGCTTGATATTTCTTGATTAATGCATGTCATCCTTGCACAGGGGCCATGCTAATCTTCTTTCTCTGTATCGTTCCAATCTCAACGGATGTCCCAAAGAACAGCTGTCCCCCACTTCTTCTTCTTCTTTTCTTTATTTTTTTTTGTTATTATTTTTTTTTTATCCAGGGCCTTATGGTCCTGGCTCCTTTCCATTCTGGGGAGCATTAGTCCGGTTCCTATTCCACCGGCAAGTCAGAATAGAGTTTACAACAAAAACGCACCCACGCTTCCTTCCGTCTGGCCGAAGGACCCCTCAGCAGCATTGATTGCTCCATCTGGCTGGAGGATTGACTGTCAGCTTGCCGTGTCTTACTCTTTCCTCTCAGATCCGATAGCCAGATCTGTCAGATAGAACTATATCACCTAGAAAGAGCTCGTCCCGTGACCCAGCTAGTCTTTATACCCCATATTACCAAACCTGCCCATGAGACCCACAACCCTTTGCCCCACCTTACCTTCCCATTTGTATACAGTTTCCAAAACCCTAAACCCTAAGCCCTCATCCAGAGACTCTTCGACACCCACCTAAGCTGGACCCCCTTTTCAACTTGAACAGACATGAAGCACTCTTTGCTTTTGCCCTGACTCCATGCTAGCCCCTTTTATTCCTAGTGAGTGTTCCTTTACATCATCTCCCGTTGCTCCTTCCCATCAAGCCTGGGAAACTTCCTCGTGATGCTTGCTCAGGATCAATTCTCTAAACCGAATCCCCTTGCACGTTTTGGGAACCCTTGCTTATTTCTGAGTTGTGCCAATCCTTCCAGTGCACTCGGTCGTGTCTTAAGTCCGCCACCTTGCCATTCAGCAGCCATTGCGTAAAAAATTCCTTCCTGATACCTTCCTGCTGCTCCATGTCTTCAGGGAGTGATTGCCTTAACCTTCGCCACTTGCATAACACTTCTGCTTGTATCAGAAGTCTCATTTCCGCCCATACTTTTTGTCTTGGATTGGACAGTCCTTCGATTGTTCGGCTGCACCTTTCTTTCCAAATGGTCCATAGCGTCACCTTTCTGATCATGCCGAACCAGAGCTTTTCTGCCTTTTGAAGTCGATCAGGGATGTTAGTCCAGAGAAGGATTTGGACGGGGTGATCGGGGAGGGGAGTATGGAAGAGAGAGTTCCAAAGGGCTGCGGCCCGTGCCCAGTACTCAGTCGCTTCGGTACAATAGAGTAAGCAGTGGACTAAGTCTTCTTGTGCACCAGCCGTACAAATTGTGCAGAGATCGGAGCTAGCCGGGTCATTCTTTTGACGTCGTATATGAAGTCATTGATTCACCGGTAGTGCGGCATAAGTGATGAGCCACTGAAGACTCCTGATTTTGACAGGTCTAATTGCCTTAAATTTCCTCCACGGGATCTGCTTGATACTTTCCACTTCCTGGCCTAACAAGTTTTGCCATCTGTTCTTGATTACAGGGTCGGGATCCTTTGTTTGGACTAAGCGCTTGTACCCGAGTCTGACTGTATAAGCATAAATAGGGGTCTTGATCTTAATATTCTTTTGTTTGTCTGCTTTCCAAGCCCATTCTGTTGGGTCAAACTCTAAGTTTCGTACTGCTATTTCCGGTCTGAAGATGATCTTAGGCCACAACCCTATTACTTGCACTTTCCTCAATGGGACCGATTCCACATCTTTGTTTAAAATAGAAACCATCCCGTGCCCGGATGCCGAGATCGGAAACGAGGTGAAGGAGGCTGTGTTGTTCGACCCTGGTACCACGTGGGAAAACTGAAATGCCCGTGATGGTATTTACTCCTGTACCTTAACTCCCCATTCCCCCCTCCTCCATGGTAGCGCTTCTTTCAAGATATCTTTCCAGGCTTGTGGAATCAGATTGATAATATACCGAAGGTTTGTACCTCGCTTGTGGCACCCCTTCAGCTTCGTGTTCAGCTCTTGTTCAGTCATCCATTCTTTCCTGTCTTCATTCCAGATGTGACTGATTTTCCACACCCCATTTTTCACCCAAGATAGCCATCTGTGGTCCAGTTGCACTGGGTTATCCCCCTCATCTTTTACCCATTGGTTGCTGAATAGTGGTTGTCTTAAAACCTCATCTTGAGACTGTGGCAGTCTAGCACCCCAAATGGCCCAAAATATACTGACAAAACAGATCAACAAGCTAGGAAGATGGGGGGACACGTTCACATCACTGTTTGGTCGAGCGATGGTCCTTAATACCTCAGTGTTCTCCATGATGTGGTATATATCTTCTATCTGGACAATTCCGGACAGTTCAATCAACTCACTTAACCGCAAGGCCAGATCCTATTTATGGACGGGCAATCCTAACAAGGAGGGCCGCACTCCTAAGATAGCCTGGAAATACATAACGCGGAAACCGGCGTGCGGGGGGTTAGGGATCATAGACCCGAGACAAGAAACAAGGGCCCTGCAGACTAAGTGGATAATCAAGCTCCTGATGAGACCAGATACTTCTTGGAACAGTCTGGCCCCGGACAGCATTAGAGCGCTGGCCCCTGTAGCTTCACCAGAAGATATGGCAGGATTGTTTTGGGTAATGACCAAGGGGTGGAGTCCCAAGTCAGGGCAGAGAAGGCGCAGAGCAGGAGTTGGAACCAATGAAGCGACTCACCACAACCCTTATTGGGCAGCCTCGATCCAGCTTTGGAGGGACATGATGCCAACAAAACGTTGGTGGCTGGCGGATGAGGACCCCCCCTGTTCGCAAGTCTCTGGCGTCTCCCACTTCATAACAACCTGAGGGCCTTGCGAACAGGGGGGGTCCTCATCCGCCAGCCACCAACGTATTGTCTTCTCCCAGTTAATCCTCATCTCTGAGGCCAATCGGAACGCATCCATTGCTCTAACCAGAGCCATGAAAGAGGAGTCAGAGGCCCTGATCAGAACTGTTAGATTGTCAGCGAAGAGGATTGTCGTTGGAAACTTTAAGTGGTGGGCAGAGCCCACATTAACCTCTGGAAGTCTGTGGATAGAGGGGTCCTTACGTAAGAAAGACGCTATAGCCTCCATCACGAAGAGGAAGATCGATGGGGCCAGCGGGTCTCCTCGACGTACTGATCTAGAAGTTGGGTAGCATTCGGATAGCGGCCCGTTGACTTGCACACATCCCATAGCATCCTTATATAATATGCGTACCCACTTTCTAAAATTGGGACCCACCCCCATCCTTTCCATACTTCCGTTGAGGAAGTCCCAATTAACTTGATCGTATGCTTTCTCAAGTCATAAAATAGGATAGTTGTATTCAACCTTTTCTCTTTGATTTTATTAACTGCCTCGTTGAGGGTCAGTACATTATCTAATATGTATCGTCCCGGGATGAAACCTGTTTGGTCAATGTGGAAACACTTGTCCGTTATGTTCACGATTCTTGCCGACAAAGCTTTAGCCAAGATTTTATAAGGAAGTGTGAAGAGAGAGATAGGTCTGTAGTTCCTAATATCTTCTTTATTTCCCTTCTTGTGCAGCAGAGTAACAACACTACTACTGATCAGGGTGCCCAGCCCCTCTTTTTACCAACTGTCATTGTAGAAATTTAACAGGTCTGTCCCCAAAAGTGGCCAGAACTTCTCCCAAAATTCCTTGGTTAGTCTGCCTATCCCTGGCAACTTTATTCATAGACTTAAGCGCTTGATGTAGTTCTTCCCCCGAAAGAGGTTTATCTAGAGTCTCCGCTTGCTCCGTTGTGATTGTACGATCCAGATATTGTAGCATTCTCTGACGTGCTTCCTGGGGTTTTGGTCTGCTATAGCTCTTGATAAAAGCCTTCGCTATTTCCAACACTCCCTCGCTGCCTGCTATTATCTCCTCTGGATCGGAAAGTGATCTCAGGCATTCTATGGTACCAGACCTCGAATTGGCCTTGATTCTTGCAAAAAAATATTTTGACATCGATTCGTTGAGCTCATATTCGTTCATTCTGGCTCTGATTTGTAATCCCTTTAGGTCCCACCATCTCTACATTGCCAATTCTTCTAGTGCTTTTTCAAAAATCTCCGAGTACAAGGGAGAAGAAGGATTGTCCCTAAGGTTAATCTCAGCGATCTTCAGTGTCGATTCCAAAGTCTGTCTCCTCTGCTTACGTATGGTTGCTAGCCTTCTTGACATTTTTGCCACTGACTTCGAGAGTCTGGAATAGCTCTCCTGAAACCATTCCCATCGGTCGTGTATGGGAAGGCGCCAGTCGCGTTGATCCCTCCAACAGTCCTACCCTCCCTCTTGAAAAGTCTGGCTCAATAGGAGAGAGTTGTTTAATTTGTGAAAGTTGGCCCCTTTCTTTATAAACTGGTCGAAACATAGTGTCAGTTGGATTGGCTTATGGTCTAGACCAGGGTAAGGGGCTAAGGGCAAGATATCAGCCGCTTTAACCGCTCCCATCATTGTGTCCAACACTAAGAAGTAATCTATGAGCGAGAAGGAAGTATGCTGGGCGTGATTCTTCTTAATTAGTGTGAAGGACCTTTTTGACGGGTGCAGGGTTCTAAAGGGCTCAACCAGACCATGGACGATCATCAGATTTTGGATAGGCACCACCTCTTGTGAGTTAAACATGGCTGCAGACCGTGATATGCGATTACATGAAGGCTCTAGAGTGGCATTCCAGTCTCCGGCTAACACACACGTGGTCAAAGGGGAGATCCGACAACTTAGGTTAGCCACAAAGGACGTTCTCTCTGCAGTATCATTTGGAGCATAGACATTGATCAGTAGAAACTTTTCCTCCTTCCACATCAGGTGCATTAGACATCATCTCCCGTCATTGGGATCGGCCTTCTTATCCAGGATCCTCCTCACGGTGTAAAAGCGAGAGGATTTGGGAATCAATATGGTCGTCCCTTTAGTACTCGAAGTGCCGTCTCCCGCCCAGATTTCGTCCTTGACCCCTCCCAACTTTCTCGCTAAGAGAGCGTGGATCCTATTGTGGTCAGCCGATACAGTGAGGTGAGTTTCTTGTAACAACAAGTGGACCCGCCGCGGCGAAGCCGCGGCCCATGGAGGCGGGGAGGAGAGTCAGGGGAGGACGGAGGACGAGGGGTGGCATGTATCCTTCAGATGCGTGGTCTCCAGTTCCCTCATCTTACACCTCTTCTTTCCAGTTCGCCCAGGATCTTTTTTTTTCCGCCAACCCGTCGTCCTCTGCCGGCTCCTTTTCGTCCGCCTGCTCGACCTTCTTTTCCTTCGCCACCTTCTGCCACCTCCTCCACTTCGCACGCCGTCTTCCCCATCCTCCACTTGCTCCTCTCCATCAACCTCTCACTATCACCTCCTTTTCCCTCTCCTGCTCCTCTTCCTGTCCTTCATCCTCCACCATCTCCCGCTCCTTCTTGCCCTTGCCCTCCATTATCTCGTCCTTGTCGTCCCCCTCCTACGCCGCGAAGTCTCTCATAGCCAAAATGACCCTCTCCTTGTCATCTACCTGCTCGTCTTSTCCGTCATCCTCTCAGCACGTCCTCCTTCGCCTGCTTGTCAGCATGATCTGTTAGCATAATGTCATTTCCGCTTCTATAGAATTGAAATGATGCAGAGAAGATTAGCATCAGTGCTGCGTAAGACTGACACACATAAATYGGGGAATTGTCCACATTATTGAAAAATCTCCTCTTCTGCCTCCTCTTCAGTCGTTTTCTCATCCTCTCACGTTCCCACGTCCGCCTTCCCTCCCGCACACAGCAGGCTCACCACAGGGACAAACGACTCAAAATATGGCGACATATCTCCCCATGTTGTAGCAGATGATTCATTCTCATCTTGCACGTTCAGCGGGGGCCTTAACGCACAGCTGGCGGATGCGCTGTTTTTTTTTGTTTTTTTGTTTTTGGGTCGTTTTCATACGGGCCTCCCTCCACGGACCATGACATGGACAAATGCAACATATGCCTGCGTATATCACCCCCTCCTTGCCGTATCCTCCCACCAACTCCTTGTCTTCCCTGGGTTCCCCCTCCTGTTTAGTCATGTCCGCCTCTTAGTGGCACAGAATGATACAGAGGAGATTTGCATGGCCCCTGCACATCCCTCCTGGTCATCCACCTCTTTTTCCCGCCGTCCAAACTCGCGATGCTTCGACGTGTGCGCAGGTCACGCGCATGCCACTTCAACACCGGCTCAAAAAAAAAAGAAAAAGAAAGGAGCGGAAGGTAGAACAAAAAGTCGCAAAAAAAAAAAGGACACGAAAAACTGCTCACTCCTGCTGCTCATCTTCCTACTTGGCCACCTCTACATCCACCCCCTCCTTCTCCTCTCCCTCCCCTTCATGCGACGCTGTGACCTCCACCTGCGCCTTCCCCCCTGGTCATCCGCCTCGGCCTCCTCCCTCGTGCTCCGAGTCTTCCATCCATCCTCATTCCGTCCTACCTCCTCCTCGCTCCTCCATTCTCCCTCCTCCATGGATTGTTGGCGTCCTCTTCTCTGCTCCCCCTTTGCCTGCGTATATCACCCCCTCCTCGCCGTATTCTCCCACCAACTCCTCGTCTTCCCTGGGTTCCCCCTCCTGTTCAGTCATGTCCGCCTCCTAGTGGCACAGAATGATACAAAGGAGATTTGCATGGCCCCTGCACATCCCTCCTGGTCATCCACCTCCTTTTCCCGCCGTCCAAACTTGCGATGCTTCGACGCCTGCGCAGGTCACAGGGATGCCACTTCAACACCGGCTCAAAAAAAAAAGAAAAAGAAAGGAGCGGAAGGTAGAACAAAAAGTCGCAAAAAAAAAAGGACACGAAAAACTGCTCACTCCTGCTCCTCATCTTCCTACTTGGCCACCTCCACATCCACCCCCTCCTTCTCCTCTCCCTCCCCTTCATGCGACGCTGTGACCTCCACCTGCGCCTCCCCCCCTGGTCATCCTCCTCGGCCTCCTCCCTCGTCCTCTTCCATCCATCCTCATTCCGTCCTACCTCCTCCTCGCTCCTCCATGCTCCCTCCTCCGTGGATTGTCGGCGTCCTCTTCTCTCCTCCCCCTTCCTCCACCTCCATTCACCATCCTTCTTCCTCCATCATCATTGTCGTCCTGCCTCTTCTCCTCTGTCCTCCTCCTCCCCCCTCGTTGTCCATCACCTCGACAATTCCTCGTCTGTCATAGTTTTCCTCTATGGCCATCCTCGTCACGGTCGCCGTTTTCGTGCTTTCCATGGTTACTGTCGTTGTCGTCCCGACTCACCTTTCATGTCATCCTCTCCCCCTTTCCACCCTTCCACCTCGTCGTTGACTCCCCCCTCCCGCGTCATCCTGCCTTTTCCACCCTTCCACGTCAACCGCAAAAGAGGTTGGAGGAGATGAATTCCGACAGAAGTGCACTGACTGCGGCATGAATCAACCAATCAATCAATCATCATTGTTGTTGACGTCCCCCCTCCCCTTCCATGCCATCCTCTCCACCTCCATTCACCATCCTTCTTCCTCCATCATCATCGTCGTCCTGCCTCTTCTCCTCTGTCCTCCTACTCCCCCCTCGTTGTCCATCACCTCGACAATTTCTCGTCTGTCATAGTTTTGTTGTATGACCATCCTCGTCACAGTCCGTTTTCGTGCTTGCCATGGTTACTGTCGTCGTCGTCCCCACTCACCTTTCATGTCATCCTCTCCCCCTTTCCACCCTTCCACCTCGTCGTTGACCCCCCCCTTCCGCGTCATCCTGCCTTTTCCACCCTTCCACGTCAGCCGCAAAAGAGGTTGGAGGAGATGAATTCCGACAGAAGTGCACTGACTGCGGCATGAATCAACCAATCAATCAATCATCACTGTTGTTGACGTCCCCCCTCCCCTTTCATGTCATCCTCTCCCCCTTTCCACACTTCCACCTCGTCTGCTCGYCCCCTCTTCCGYGCCATCCTCCCTTTTCYGCCCTTCCATGTCAGSTTTTCCTTTCACCCGCAAAAAGAGATTGAAGGAGATGAGTTGCGAGAGAGAGTGCATCTGAAGTGTAATGACTGTAGCAAAAATCAACCAATCAATCAATCATGACTGGAAAAAAAGAAAAAGTCGAAAAGAACCCTGAGCCTTCTTACCTTTTTGCTCACTCCTCCTCCCTCCATCACCATCGCCTCCGTCCCTCCCCGCTGCTCCTCCTTCCTCGTCCTCCCTCGATCCTCCCTCCTCCTTGATCGTGTTGTCCTCCCCCCACGTCCTCCCCCCACGTCCTCCTCCATCCATCCTCCGCCCTCCTTCCTCGTCCTCTTCACCCCATCCTCCCTCTCCCTCCTTGCTCCATCCTCCCTTCTCCTGCCTATGTCCTCTCTCGGATACGACTCTCATTCTCTCTGTCAAGCCTCTCCCCACAAATGCCACTCTCCCGCCGGTTCCCTTCCTACCCTCCGATGTGCTATCCAGTCCCCTTGCCCCTCCTTTCCGCCACACCCCCTGCGTCCCCTCTGTGTCGCCCTTCTCTCCACCGGGCTTGCGGCTCGCCGCGCTCGCCTACCCACAACGGATCCAAGCGCCCCTGGTCCGTTTCGATTCACACGTCGAATGGTGCCAGTCAGCCGTAACCCTGAAACTTCGTGCCGGCCACTCCCAGGTTGGACCCGGCTTCGACGGTTGAGAAACTTCGCGCCAAAAAAAAAGGAAACCGACGCGAACGAAACCGCCAAAAAAAAAGGAAACCGACACGAATGAAACAGCCTGGGCCCAATTTCGCTGGGCCCGCTGGGAGCGTCACGCGAGACCCGCGTTAGCCTGGGCCCAATTTTGCTGGGCCCGCTGGGAGCGTCACGCGAGACCCACGTTTTGCTTTAGAGTATTAGAGAAGAGATATGATATCCACCAATTTCTTGTTCTCCATTGTTAGGCCCTGTACGATATCATTTAGTTTCTCTTCTTTGTCTATGATGTTGTCCAGCCCTTTGATATTCCAACTTCGGATGACTAGCCCTTGATGCCTCCAATCCCTACGGTCGGCCCCAGAGTTCGCTGCTCTACTGAACTCATCCATCTTCGGGATAAACACATCTGATTAACACTTACTGCTTTATCAAGCATATCTATCTCGACCCCCCCAGCTTCCTTCGCCGGTGTCGTATCTGTTGCGTCCATTACCTTCTCAGGGGATGATGTTCCTGCCGAGTCTTCCATTCCGCCTGCAGACTCGCTTCCACTGCCCTCCCTTTCAGTCTCCAATGCCTCCGAAACGCCTTCCTTCTCGTTTTCTGCCCATCCTGGCTCCAGGTCATCATCTGAGACATCGCTCCTATAGAATATGTCCCAGTCTGTTGGGAATGTCCTCTCCTCCAAATGTTCATCGCCGTCCAACAAATTAGTCGCCACCACTTGTGCGATTGAAACTGCTATTAGTTCCGCCGGGATGCTCGGGCCCGCCAACACACTATATGGAACTGCAGTCACTAATCGCCATGGCCTCCATCTCATCCCGGTCTTTAGTTGGATTGTTGTTGGCATCTTTGCAATCAGGGGAGAGAGTGCATGAGGTGAAATCCCTTTGGACTCTGGTTGCTGCCCCGGTCCGCCCTCCTGTCCCTCCTGGGAGTCAATACCGTCCCGGTCCACACTCCCCTGGACAGTCTCAAAACCCCCCAACGGAAATTCAGTCGTTACCTTCTCTCGCAGGATTTCCGCCACGTTTTGTCCTTCCTCGAATCTTGGGATTTGGAAGGATGCATCCGTGGCCACCTGCCACTCACCTCCTTTCTCCAAGTATCTGGCTACCAGCAAAGGTCGGATGTTCACCAACGTCAGCCGAGAGGACTTGGCAATTTCCACCACCAATGGAGCCTCCTCCCTGGCTATGTGGGCCACTGTGACAAATTCCGGTGCATACTCCTCATTCCATTTCTTCAGTTTTTCGGTTTGAGCCAGCTCCACTGCTACTTTCTCTAACGCAACAACGGGACCCACCGCGGCTTCGCTCGCGGCAGAGCAGGAGGTAGGAGGAAGAAGCAGGAGGCCGAGGTGTGAAGAAGGGAGGGCCATATGCAAAAGGGAGGTTTCAATGGAGCAAGCGAGGAATGTGTTCACAACTTCACACGGAACCAAGGAGAGGTCAAGGATGTGAAGCAAGTAGTAGATAGGAATGAGCAGGTTGGAGAACGAATGAAGCACAAAATGTGGCTGTGATAAATGAATCAATCATTTGATAACAATGCAGAACAATCTGTAAAGATGAATGCAGAGGGCATTTTGAATCTGCCTTTTTGCGCTTGCAGCCGAGTTTGTTGTAGTAGTGTCCTCGAGTCGCTGTAATCCTCGTGGTGCTGCTGAAGCTCCTGCCGGGTTGTAATGTTGCTGAAGCCATTGCTGGTCTTTTCGTTCGGAGCTGAGTTTCCCTCGAGTTGTCGTAGTTCTTGTGCTGCTGTTGAAGCTGTCGCCGGTCTTCAGGTCGGGCCTTCGGGTTGGACGGCTGGAGGAGATTGGACGGTGGAGGAAGGAAACTGCCCTTCGGACGAGGTCTGCCCTGTAGATGTGGAAGGGAGGCAGTTGACATTGTGTTCACGGTGATGGACGACGATGAGATCGCTGAGATATTCCAAAGTTCGGGGGGAGTGGGGAATGTTGTACATGGAGACAATGTGGCGTGAAGCGAGTATGTCGTGGATCATCGTTGTGGCATGTGTTCATCCCCATTGCTCGAGCGGCTTCCACCACCGAGGGTCTATTTCGTGAGTTGGTAGGAGAAGGGGGGGTGGTGTGGGTTGTGCAGAAGTGATGAAGGCATATTGATGGTAGGCATTGAGTATCCGATCGTGTCGGTATTTTGCGAGGCCCGCGTGAGATCCTGCAGATCGGTAATGGTCTCGTTGGAGCAGTTGCAAGAGAAATGTTTTGGAGCGGACAAATGTTGTATTTGCGGAGGAATGAGGCGGTGGGCGATTTAGTTCTTGTTCACGCTTGTGTTTGTATGAAGCGAAGAAGGTAAAAAGGGAGAGAGAGAAAGCAGTGTGATCTGTTGGGAGGAAGTCTTCCCAGAGAATTTGGTCAATGATGTGTTCTATAGTGTCAGGACGGAGTACGTGGTGTCACTCGTCCCATTTGTCGTACTCTTGGAGGTCTTCTTCCGGAGTGGATTGTGATTGGTAATGGGGTCGAAGAGGTGTGTGAGTAGTGGAAGGTGTTGCGACAGTTGCAAGTGCGTTCGTTGGAGCAGGCAGCGGAATGTCAAGTTGGTTGAGAGTCACATCGTCTAAGCCGTGTTGCTCTAGAAAATACGGATCAGTTGGCAGAGAGGATGTATGAGATGCAGATTGAAGTGAAACGGTTAGGGAAGTTGTGGGCGATGGAGGCGGAGCTGTATGTGGTGAAGACTCTGTGGTAGGCAAGGATGTGGATGTGTGAGTAGTAGGCGGAGTTCTGATCGTTGACATGCTGTCATTTTTGGTAGGAAGAGTTTTAGTTTTTTTTGTCGGCACTGATGTCGTCGAAGCAACTGCACACAGAACGACGCAAAGAGGGGAAGAACCATGTGAGTATTATGCCAGGATCTCTTTGTATACAATGTTTGTCAATTGGTTAGCATCGTCGGGAAGTGCAAAACGAATGTGGGAGGGGTCTCCTACACGAGAGGCAGCAATGTAGAGTTGGTCGTGGGCAAAGGCGTGCTGCTGAAGGTCAATTCCTGCGTGTTTGATGGATTGGCCTTGGGATTTGTTGATAGTTATTGCAAATGCAGGCCGGACAGGGAATTGTCTTCTTTACCACCAAGGGAAAGGGGCTGCTTTGATCACTGACAGTCAATAAAATGCATGGAAGGAGAACCGGTCGTAGCGAAGGAAGGGTGCGTGCATGCAGGAGTCTATTGTTGGTAACGTCATCGACGATTAAGCGTATTCCGTTGCATAAACCATTCCGCATAGCGATATTGCGTAAGACAATTATAGGCGCCCCTCTTTTCATGTGGAGAATGTGTGGTGGCAGGGAGGGAAGGTCGAGGGTGTTGAGAGTGTCAATAGAGACGTCGGGATAGTTGTCATTCGGGAGGAGTGTATCAGCACTTAGAGATGTGATCAGAGGGCCTGGAAACTGGTTCAGTATGATACTGTTGAGGGTGGCGACTATTTTGTTTTTGGGCGCTAGGACGAGGCGCTCAGCGAGCCATTGAGGGTTGTTTGAATTTGTCGAGAGGGCAGGAAAGGTCCATCCAATGAGGTTTGTTGTTCCTCCATGAAGGCACAAGTGAGGGGGGAGTTCAACGGTGTCAGGCGTTGTGTTATGTGGGGGAAGAGGCGTAGCAACCATGCGGCGTATTTACGTGCTTCGGTGGTGTTGCTCAGAGTGAGTACACGCATGTTTTCTAAAAGGTGTATTGTCTGAAAGCAAGACCATAGTTTAGAGGATTTTATGCACACGGCGATTGTTTGTGCGCGGGTTCCTTTTGTGATGACTGAGAGAATTTATCGGAAGTCACCTGCAAGAACGATAATTTTCCCCCCAAATGGTGGGTCGGATGAACAACTATCTCGCAAAGTCCTATCGAGTGCTTCTATGTGGTATTTGTGCATCATTGGGGCTTCGGCCCAGAGGATGACAGTGGCCATTCTTATAAGCTGTTGCAAGGTGCTTTGTTTGGGAATGTCAAGAGTTGATGTTTCTGTAGGTGTGAGTGGTGCTTTGAAGCGAGAGTGAAAAGTCCTACCACCGTCAAAAAGTGTGGCCGCAAAGCTGCTAGATGCGACAACAAGTGCTATTTGGTCATGGGGGCGTATATGTGCTAGTATGGTGTTGAGGCAGAATGTTTTCCCGGTTTCCGCAGGTGCATCAACAAACAGACAGAGGGGTTCGATATGCTCTGCAGCGTTAATAACACGTTGGAATACTGCATGTTGTGACGGTGTGAGTCGTGGGAGATTCATATCAAGCGTGCGTTGTAGTTCTTGTTTGTCGTATGATATCTCATCATCTATTAGTCTAGGAATTCGTTCTCGATGTGGTCTTTGTGAAATGTGAGTTGCTTCATTTCGATCCACGAGAGCAGGCGGGTTAAGACCGACGTCTTCAAGCTCTTTCCCTTCTTTTTGCAGGCGGCTTTCGATGTCTAGGAGTGTCATGGCTTTCATAATTCCGTCATAGACATGTGCTCCGGTAAGGTCTCTACGAAAGTCATCAATCATACGGCCCCATTGCGTTTCGAACAGTTCATTCGGGTCGGATGGAGCACAGTGTAAAACAATATGCACAAAAAGATCACGTACCATTGGTGATGATGACGTGAAAATAGCATCATCAAGAACTGCATCGAATTGTGTGTTATCGTTGAGAAGACCTAATGCTTTGCATGCAGTTTGGAATGTTGGATGGACCTCACTATGAACTGTACGCAAGTTTTCGAACGATGTCGCACCGCGGGAATGCAGAGAATTGAGGAGCATACGGAGGTAGAACGTGTCACCTGCATTTGGATGTATTGTATCAATTTGTATGGATTTGTCCAATTGTATTAGTGGCGCGTTGTCTAAGAACCCACTCTTTCTTTTTCTGGTTAAATCGAAATCTACGAACCATGTCTTTATAAAGTGGTTTACTGTCTTCAGGATCATGGAGCCGTGCAGCACTCCACTTGAACCATGCTGTGAGTTCGGTTTCTGGGGGTGGATTGCGTGCTATCTGTTGAGCCTTATGTTCTCTAAAGTATACGAGTTTTTTATTTTCTGTATGAATTGGTAGTGCAGTGACAAGAGGGTATCGTTCTGATAGCGGGAATTCGAAGATACGCCAGCAGGCCTCAGCGGCACTGATTGTTCGTATATCTTGATACGTTTGTATTTCGTCATTATTGTCAATGGCTTCAGCGACCGTTGCGCGATCAGGTCCTTTGAGAATATACTCAAACATGTATCGGCAAGCCGTCGTCGATGCACAAATTTCGGTATTGAGATGGCATCGATATCGTAGGAGGAGATATGGGTTGTAAGGTACCACCCATCATGATGGACAGTAGCAATTCCTCCATCCGATGGTGAACGGCGGCGATAAATGGGATATCCCGTTTCTTCGTTCCACGTGGTTCGGTTTGAAAAGTCTTTTGGGAAGTAACGTGTGCAACGATCGTTGTGCATGCAAGAAACTTGCAGATTACGTTGTCGGGACTGGTGAGTCCCGAATAACTTCCCAGCACTCGAGAGATTGAATACGGACAATTTGTGCACAATAGAGAAATCTGGAGTGAGGAAGCAGGAGAGAGAAAAGACAAAGGATTAGGCCGCAGAAAGGAGTGATGCCCTGAGGAGAGAACCACAGGGGGAAAGAACTAGCGGCGACAAGCAAGCGAGTGCAAGAACAGGGGCACATAGAACATAGCAGGAGGCCGGGAGGGCCATCGGAATGCAATAAGACTAAGGCCAAAGGGCCCTTTGAACTAGCAATTGCAACGCGACAACAATAAGGGAATGGGGAAGTCGAGGAATGGGCGGCCAGAAGCCGCGGGAAGCCAGGAAATGAGGGCCAACACGGAGGCCACCTACGGGAGCCTCGGAGCGGAGGCCCACGACCAAAGAGATCGGCACGCACAAGGCGCGAGGAAAGACTAAGGAGAGGGGTCGCTATGGGGGGACAAGACGCCCAAGGAGCATGGGACACCTCGGGGAAAGGCACCCGGGACCACGTGGGACTAAGTAAAAATAATGGCGTACGGGGCGAAATGTGTCGGGGACCGCCGACGGGACTAATGTGTCGGGGACCGCCGACGGGACTAAGTGTCGGGGACCGCCGACGGGACTAAGTGTCGGGGACCGCCGACGGGACTAAGTGTCGAGGACCACCAACGGGACAAGTAGCGGGGACATGTGAAAGTCCCAAGAAGAAACGGTGGCACCGCATGAGGGGAAAATAATATATGCAAGGTGCACCATCAAGATCGACATCTGGACGGCCAAGAATATTAGCACCACTAGTGCAAGTACTAGTGGTGACAAACGGGAAGGCCAAAAGGAAAAGGAAAAGTAAAGAAAACTGAAGTGGGAGGCATGGGAGCAAACCGAAAAATCTCGGATCAGCCTCCCTTAAGAAAATAGAGTCAAATGAGACCCCATGTGAA